TGTGCCCAGAGGAGAGTGACTTGGGTAGTGAAGGGATCTGCCACCGTGCCACTGGAGGGACTGAAAGAACAGGTGACATTTAGCCTAGACACTTATTATAACTCTGACATCCATCTTCATATATTTGAAGGCCAGATGGAGGAGGGTTTAGACTTAGTCCATTTAATTCCAGAGATAAGATTTCAGCTTAATACCCTTTAAAAATTACAGCTACCCAATAGTGGCTATCAAGACCCTGACCACTAGAATTTAGGAGTTATGATTTCTACAGGAGAGGGTCCCTCTCAGCTGCTAAGATTCTCTGGATGACAGCTGAGTTGATACTGATCAACCCTCATCTGTGAGGAAGCATTATTAAATGGTACCTTCTTGGAATCTAAGATAAGATGTCAGAGTTTACTAAGCCGGTTACTAACTGCCTGGGTATTTTCCCCCTACCTTTTCCTTTCTCTATTTGCTCTACCTAATTTATTGCTGTGCTCACAATAGACAGTACTACGGTCATACATGCACACCCTCCAGCCAACCTACTGATGGCCAACCCTGGGCTAGCCGTCTGGACTCCCCGGGGTGGCAGGAATGACTGAACTTGCTGCTCTACCCGTTTTGCTGTCGAAGAGTATTTGTGAATCACTGAGCTAGTGATTCATGGCGGGGGAACTTATGGAACAAGCCATGATTTGTGCTTGCAGTGTGTTTACCAGCACTCTTTCTTCATAATGATTTCCTAGGAGATACAGGAAAGCCAGAGCAACTAAGGGTGTGCACTTACCTTAGCATCCCAGAATTGTTTCTGAAGTCTGCTAGTTGTCATTGTCCTTCAGGAATTAGGCCCAAGGCCCAAGAACAAAGTTTGTCTATTTTCACTGCATGATATTTGTCCTTCTCTCCAAGTTCTCCATTCTTTCTACTTTGTAGTCCTGGATAATAATCGTGGCTTGAGCAGACTATCTTCTGGGCTGGATAATATATATTACTTCTTAGCTTCAGTGCAAGGCTTTGACTAAATTGATTTCAAATTGTTTTAAACATGCTTAATGTAAGCAGGCTTTGTCAAAGAGTAGGTGAAGATGGATAAGAATGATAGTTCACAAGAACTAAAACCAATTTCTTTATGTTCAACTGAATGCATATGTTCCCTCTTGTCCTGGCTGCTGCTTTTAAGTTTTTTTTTTTTCTTGTTCCTTATTCCAAATAAACAAATATCTGTACTGGCTGGGAAGGAGAAGAGCGAAGGTGCAGAGAGCTGGCCACAGATCACTGCTCTGCCCACTGCCTGCATACTGGAGCCTTGACAACCTGACATGCTGCCAGCCTGGCAAGGGAGGGGCCCTGTGCTTCGAGGAGTCCGGGGCCCTGGCTGGGCTGCCGGCCTGGGACTGCGGCAGTGGTGGTGCTGCCTAATGGGCAGCGGGTCTGAGCCCAGGGCTTGCTCATTCTTTCTGGCTGAGAGATACTCTTTATTCCATTAGTGATATATTTTAGCAATGATGGGTGTAAATAAAACGTTGATAGGTAGGGAGTCCTGAACTTGGGTGCAAATCCAGGATTTCCACCACTTACACTGATAAAGCTCCAGATGCTGTGAGGATGTCAGTTTCCCCATGCATGTTTGGTCTCCCTGTTTCCTTTTCCACCACCTCCAGGTCACAGGGCTGAAGGGATGTCCAGAAGTAAAGTGTTATGGTTGACCAACACAGTCATCAGCTGACAGAGGGTCGGTCCTAAATCCCACACTCCTATAACGGCCCTTCTGCCTAGGTCGGCCCTTCCCCATGCAGAGCTCTGGAGGCCCCCACTGAGAGCCAGCCCCACTACCACCTACCAGACACAGTGGCTTGAGTGAGCCAGCCTTCACTCATCTGCTCAGGATTGAGTTTCTAGCTTCAACAATATTTCTCTTCTCAATTTTACTAGACCATATTCTTCTGACTTTTAAGAGCAAAAGGGAGAGATGAATTTTGGAGAACTGTTGGGAAAACCCAATTCTGTGCTCTCAGTCACTCTCTCCCCATTTCCAATATTGAAGTTCTTATTTCAAGGACCCATAAAGGGCACTGGGGAGAAATCTAGGGCCCCACAACCATAACTGCACTTCCATATCCATTAGACAGAAGCAACCGTCCATTACAAAAAGAACCCTCAAAGTGGCTAATGTCCCTGAAGACTTAAAACTAGGATGTGATACTTACTATAGCTGGCAGCTTTCAGACACAAGTGTTTGCCTTTTCTTTCAGCTCAGCTCTCTTCATTTTCTGGAGAGCACAGATTTAACAGGTGACTCATCTGTATCCTTAACTTTGAGATAGCAGCTGAAGTTTGTGTTCTCTTTCTCTCTCTTTTGGAGTTAGCTAGCTGATCTGACTTAAATGTGACAGGCTGTGTGCTGAGCTAACTGATAATCCAGCACAACCATGTCCTACTCAGCTTGACTGGAGGAAGAAAACACATACTTAGTTTAACGAGAAGATATAAGCAAGGGAACAGTTGGTTATACATTATAGATTGTAATAAATGAAAATATCGAGTGCATTTTAAATGATTCATGTATGAAAACTGTCATCACTTACTGTGCATTAATCAAGAGAAAAATGCACATTTCCCATAGTGGTTGATGTTGCAGGCCCATTGTTCAGCTTTGATAATGTGCATAATAATAATGCTCAGTATGACAATGAGTTGGGGTAGCTGAAAATTTAGGATGGTTGCAAGTTCCGTGTAGTATTTGGATTAGCGACTTAATCTGTGCCTTGTCAGCCTTATCAGTACACAAGCTATGCATTTTTTCCAAAACTAGCAAAAATATGGATGCATTTTTGTTTTTCACTTTTTTTTTAAATCAAGAATAATGACCAAGGTACCTGCTTAAACAAATACTACCAGCATTCATTAGTTAGGATGGTTGCATGTAAAAGAAATGATGCCAGATAGTAACAAATCCAAGAGAAGTTTATTATGAAAATGGCACCTGCGGATGAAAAAATTAAGTTACATAAAGACAACCATGTATGTGACATGTATGAGAATCTACAAAAGTATAAAAAGAACCCTGTTGTAAATGAAGTATGTACATTTCTGATTTGCAGCATTATCAATGGTCAATGAAAAAAAATGTTTCAAAATAAGCCAGGCACTCAGGAAGTTAGGTCTGGTTAGCTTCACACAAAACAAATGTACCATAGCTGTCGCTTTGTAACGTTTTAATTTTTTTTATATATATATTGTAGAGTTGGTAACACTGCTAAGATTTTTACGAACAGAATATCCCTTTCCCCATTATTCAGCTACTTGGCACCAGTCTCCTCATAAAAGTTTTCATATATTTGTACAAGAAATAGTTAAAAACACAGACACAGTCTTCACAGGTAATGACGTGTTTTTTTTTTCATTTTGTAATTTTAAACACTATGGATTTAGACAGCAGCTGTGATTATCTGTTAGTTTAAATCACCAGAAATCATTTTGACACAACACAGAAACATTTATAAAAGAAAAAAAAAACAGCTGTGTTAGCTGTTCTTTGTAGCTGGTAGGTGCATTCCTTTGATTGTTCGATAGCTAGAATAGAGCTTCCAAAATTAATCTTTAAATATCATGATTGGCCCTCTTCACCTTCTAAACATACTTAAATCCTTCAGGTAAAATCCCTATTAAAATTTGTGACATTTAATTTCTTTTTGCTATTATTCCACAGTGATATGGGCCCAACTCATGGAATCAAAGGTCCTAGAGGAATCCACTCAACATAGTGATATTCAAAGGACAGCCGAATTACTATATTAGCATTGCACGCAGAAACAAATATATATGGCAATTCTATATTCCATGACCACCTCCCCTTTTGTTTTTAAAAAATGTTGGTTGACCTTTGAAATAATTTCCTGTCTCACTGGTAATTGCTTTACATATTGCTCCATCAGCCAACCTGGACAGAAACCAAAGAAAAGCACCCACTGCTTATAGGGAGAGCACAAGGGACTCTGGAAATGTTAACAACTGAGGCTATATGGCATCAATTTATTTAATCTATCTGAGCATTATTCTTCAGAGCTTTGTGTTGTACTCTGGAAGAAAGAGTCATACCCAGAACTCCACTGTGGGAAAAATGGCTCCATTAACCTTGAGCTAGTTAAGAGTCTGTTTATCTCTGAGAATGAAAATATCTTGGAGAATGGGGGAAGGAAAGATGAGGAAGGAAAAGGGGATGTGAAAGAGGGAGGGAAAGAAAGGAGAGGTCGGGAGAATATACACCAGCAAAGCAACAGCAGGAATCTTAAAAAGTGAAACAAAGATTCACAGACAGTAGAAGCAGCATAGGGTGACATTACAGAGGAAGGCCACCACACAAAAATCACTAACCTCCAAGAATCACTGATTCACTAGGACTGCAGGAATGGGACTGTACCACTCCAGACTAGAGATAGAGCACAGAGAAGACAAAGGACAAAACAACTACATTAGCTTAGTATATACTGCATATAGAAACACACATTGAAACTGCAATGGGCTGACAGCCAAGGACACGTACACATTGCACACATTACAGTTCTCACATCTGTTATTAGATGCCTTAACAAACAGCTGCCAAAAATGGAGTGGAAGAAGGATTTATACTTGACAGTCATTTGGAGTGTTTGACACTACACTGATTTCTGGCAACAAAGACAAAATAGGATATTTTTTTTTCTTTTTCTTTTTTTTTCTTTTTTTTACTTAATGTGCAGTTTTCAGTTGCAGTTATCTGTTTGAAGCTTATTAACCCACTCTTTAGTTTTAAACCTTATTGGTTTCCACCTAGAAATAAGACAACCAAAGGGAAAAAAAATATTTCCATCAAATCAAATCAGTCCCCCAAAATACAATCTTCCTTTTATAGCAAGAAATGAAAAAAAAATGTTAAATATTTTTTTCCTTCTTTTACTCCGAAGTGTTATTGATGTTGCAAAAATTAGCCTCAGTCAGACTGAGAAAAGGAATAATAATAAAAGACAACCATGTATGTGACATGTATGAGAATCTACAAAAGTATAAAAAGAACCCTGTTGTAAATGAAGTATGTACATTTCTGATTTGCAGCATTATCAATGGTCAATGAAAAAAAATGTTTCAAAATAAGCCAGGCACTCAGGAAGTTAGGTCTGGTTAGCTTCACACAAAACAAATGTACCATAGCTGTCGCTTTGTAACGTTTTAATTTTTTTTATATATATATTGTAGAGTTGGTAACACTGCTAAGATTTTTACGAACAGAATATCCCTTTCCCCATTATTCAGCTACTTGGCACCAGTCTCCTCATAAAAGTTTTCATATATTTGTACAAGAAATAGTTAAAAACACAGACACAGTCTTCACAGGTAATGACGTGTTTTTTTTTTCATTTTGTAATTTTAAACACTATGGATTTAGACAGCAGCTGTGATTATCTGTTAGTTTAAATCACCAGAAATCATTTTGACACAACACAGAAACATTTATAAAAGAAAAAAAAAACAGCTGTGTTAGCTGTTCTTTGTAGCTGGTAGGTGCATTCCTTTGATTGTTCGATAGCTAGAATAGAGCTTCCAAAATTAATCTTTAAATATCATGATTGGCCCTCTTCACCTTCTAAACATACTTAAATCCTTCAGGTAAAATCCCTATTAAAATTTGTGACATTTAATTTCTTTTTGCTATTATTCCACAGTGATATGGGCCCAACTCATGGAATCAAAGGTCCTAGAGGAATCCACTCAACATAGTGATATTCAAAGGACAGCCGAATTACTATATTAGCATTGCACGCAGAAACAAATATATATGGCAATTCTATATTCCATGACCACCTCCCCTTTTGTTTTTAAAAAATGTTGGTTGACCTTTGAAATAATTTCCTGTCTCACTGGTAATTGCTTTACATATTGCTCCATCAGCCAACCTGGACAGAAACCAAAGAAAAGCACCCACTGCTTATAGGGAGAGCACAAGGGACTCTGGAAATGTTAACAACTGAGGCTATATGGCATCAATTTATTTAATCTATCTGAGCATTATTCTTCAGAGCTTTGTGTTGTACTCTGGAAGAAAGAGTCATACCCAGAACTCCACTGTGGGAAAAATGGCTCCATTAACCTTGAGCTAGTTAAGAGTCTGTTTATCTCTGAGAATGAAAATATCTTGGAGAATGGGGGAAGGAAAGATGAGGAAGGAAAAGGGGATGTGAAAGAGGGAGGGAAAGAAAGGAGAGGTCGGGAGAATATACACCAGCAAAGCAACAGCAGGAATCTTAAAAAGTGAAACAAAGATTCACAGACAGTAGAAGCAGCATAGGGTGACATTACAGAGGAAGGCCACCACACAAAAATCACTAACCTCCAAGAATCACTGATTCACTAGGACTGCAGGAATGGGACTGTACCACTCCAGACTAGAGATAGAGCACAGAGAAGACAAAGGACAAAACAACTACATTAGCTTAGTATATACTGCATATAGAAACACACATTGAAACTGCAATGGGCTGACAGCCAAGGACACGTACACATTGCACACATTACAGTTCTCACATCTGTTATTAGATGCCTTAACAAACAGCTGCCAAAAATGGAGTGGAAGAAGGATTTATACTTGACAGTCATTTGGAGTGTTTGACACTACACTGATTTCTGGCAACAAAGACAAAATAGGATATTTTTTTTTCTTTTTCTTTTTTTTTCTTTTTTTTACTTAATGTGCAGTTTTCAGTTGCAGTTATCTGTTTGAAGCTTATTAACCCACTCTTTAGTTTTAAACCTTATTGGTTTCCACCTAGAAATAAGACAACCAAAGGGAAAAAAAATATTTCCATCAAATCAAATCAGTCCCCCAAAATACAATCTTCCTTTTATAGCAAGAAATGAAAAAAAAATGTTAAATATTTTTTTCCTTCTTTTACTCCGAAGTGTTATTGATGTTGCAAAAATTAGCCTCAGTCAGACTGAGAAAAGGAATAATAATACAAAAAAAGCTCAACAAAGGGCAGTATGTACTTAAACTGCTCCTCAAATCAGTTCGATGGAATTTTCCAAAAGCCCCTTTAAAAAGAGCTTTACTGACCCATTAAAGTTAACGTGAGGCTATGTTTGTTAGTTGGGAGGTAAAAAATTTTAAGTCCTGCAGCAAATGTTAATGAGGGCTTTGTCTTAACTAACCAAGAAGACTGCAGCAACGGACTCCAGACCAGGACAGAACACGGTTTTCCCAAAACCCAGCCCAGGAGCTGCATTTTGTATGAAGACATTACAGATTAATAAATGATAGCACCATGGTTTTAGAAATTAAGTTAATGTTTCAGTAATTAACATTTAGTCCAACTTTTTTTTTTAAAACATTCTAGTCACAGGCCAGAAATTAAGTTTAAGAACCCAAATTATTTTTATGTGCAAGTAAGAAAATCTTAACCATAAAAAGAGAATTAAATTCTGCATAAAATTCTAAAATACTATCCCCCTATTTTTAAAGGAATTAGGAACAAAAAACAAAACACCACCCCATTTCATTTGACTTAGTCAAACAGGGCACATTGTTTCCTTGTCTCTTTCAATCTTGATCATATCAAGATCTTTATGAAGAAAACCCAATGGTTGTCACTTGAGAAATCTCTTGACCACAAGACTGAGTATTCTATGGCAGAGGCATATACACATTAAAGACATCTTAATAAAGATGCAAAGGAAAGCAAAACAACCCAACACACATCTTAGAAGACGACAAAATGGCAGGCAACTGGTCATCTGACTTTCTGAAGGCAAAAAATAAACATATCTTTACAGGAAAGAATAGTCAAGTTAAAGAAAGAAGGGGTGGGGTGGGGACCGTCGTGTTGAGAGAAGACGCTGACCTGCTCGAATTCAAAGTGCTAGAATTAAAGGTCTAAACGAAAACGCCAATGATGCCTCCGGGGGAGCCCTGGTCTCAGTCCTCCTTGCGCTCCAGAGTCTGTGCCGCGTGGATGCCGTTGCTGTACACGGGGAAGGGGAGTGTGGAGAAGAGTCCCTCGGCCGTGGTGAACACGTTGCCGGCGGGCATCTGCGTCAGGCTGGCTGCGCTCACCGCGCCGCCGAACGGTCCCGACATATTGAGCCGGTGCACGTGGTGGTAGAGCATTTCCATGGGCGTCTTGGGGTCGAGGCCGAAGCCGGGGCTGTTAACGTCCACGAAGTTAACAGCGTGCGCGTTGGGCAGCAGGTTGCCCTGCATGGCCAGGGTCACCTCTGCAGGAGCATAGCGGATGGTGCCCGTGGTGTAGACCCTCTGCGCCGCCGTGCTGGTGGCGGCCAGGGTCCCGGTCACCCTGTGCACCAGCGGCAGCACGACGTTGCCGGCCTGCAACCTCTGCAGCGCCTCCAGGTCCCCAGTGTACAGCAGCGAGTTGGACGCACTGGGGGCGCCCCCGCCGCCGCCGCCTCCGCCCCCGGGGTGCTTGTCCCGCGGGGACGCCGAGAGCGGGGGTGACAGCGGGTCAGAGGCGACTGGGGCCAGGGCGGCAGTGGCCGAGGCGCTGAACTGAGTCTTGCGGGCAGCTGCGCCGTCGGCGCCGGGCGGCGTGAGGGCCGAGTCGGGGATGGCCACGTGCAGCCCGCCGCCGGCCCCGCCGCCCTGCGGGGACGGAAAGTGCTCCGAGCTGGGGGGCTTGGTCATGCTGTAGGGGGACTCGTTCCTGGAGATCTCCCGGTTGGGCGGGTAGTTCCAGATGCTGCTGTCGTTGTCGAAGTTGATGGGTTCCGAGATCTCCGTCTTGATCTTGAGCACCGAGGCACTGTTGGGGGAGGACAGCAGCCGCGGGGCCTCCACCAGGCCGGCGTCCAGGCCCCCGGGGCTCGACGCGCTGGACAGGCGCCGGCGGCTGGCGCTGCCGCCCTTCTGCCGTTTCCGCCGCTTCTTGCGCTTCTGGTGCTTGCTGGAGGCCTGCGCGCCCGCCTCGCCCGCGCTGTCCGAGTCCTTGGCGCTGTCGGACGTGAGCGACTCGCAGTTCTGCAGCCGCAGGTCCGACTCGCTCTCCACGTAGCGCTCCACCTTGATCTGCATGGGGCCCAGCGCGCCGAAGCTGTTCTCGCCCGCCTTGGGGTTCTCAAAGTCCGAGTGCTCGAAGCTGTCGTCGCTGTCGCGGCTGTCCGGGTTGCTGGAGCTGTGGCCGTCGTCGTTGCAGTTCATGTCGTTGTCGCACGCGTTACCCGACTTTTTCCGGTCGGGCTCCGGGTCTTCGCTGTTCTCGGACTGGTTCCCCTTCTCGTCGGACTTGGAGTTCTCGTTTTCCTCTGCGTGGAGCCGGCGGCCAGGGTGGCGCGGCGGGGGGAGGAGAGACAGAAGACACCCATTAGCGGGGCGTGACCCACCTCTCAGCTGCGGGGCGCGGGGCTGGGGAGGTGTCTTGCCCCACCTGAGCTGCTCCACCACCTCTGGTACTTGAAAGCCTAGGCTTCTCTCTCTCTCTCTCTCTCTGTATTGTGTACATAGGCTTATTCACCACAATATACCTATATATGTGTATGAATATATATCATTACATATATGCACATTTATATATATGTATGAATATATACTATTTATATATGTATGAATATATACCATTACATATATACACAACATATATATGTATATCTTTATATACCACTATATATACACATGTATATATACACGTGTGTACATATGTGTTTGGGGGTGTAAGAATATATACACATATGTGTGGAGAGAGACTCAGTGGTAACTTGCTGTGGCATAGGTCTCTCTGTAAAATGTGGCCAGTTGCTAAGCTGTGCTGGTGGTCCTTTGGCCACTGCCCAGCCCTCATGTTTGAGAGGACAGCCACAACTGTAGGAGAAGGAGGTGTGCTAATACCTGTAATACCTGAGGTATCTTTGGAGTCTGATTCAGAGTCGGATGTCTCGGAGGACTCCGAGGTCTTCTCCGGCAGATGGGGAAGCTGTGCGATGTCCATTGGCGTGTCCTTGTACTCAGGGTTGCTGCAGGGAGGCAGTCATTCATCAGGAGTGCGGACACCTGTGCCCTATGGTCTGCTGTTGACCATCTTCTCCCCACTTCCTTGCCCCAACCTTTGGAGTTTAGAGAGTTTAAACAACTAAACGGGAATCATTTCTCAGTTCATAGTGGGACTTTCACAGAAGCTTGGATTGCATGGTGAGGGGGGGGCGGTACAGGTGCACCCTGCTGTGATGATTGAATACCCAAATGCTACATGAAAGCCACTAAAAAGCTTTCATATGATCAGGTGCCTCTGGGGACCAGGGAACTCTGCTGCTTGACATCCGTCCCAGGGTAGCACCTAGAGGGAGGGAGGATGGGAAGTACTCTCAACAATTCATTCCCACACCTCCTGGGGTGCCCTATCTTCTCTTGGGCTTCTAATGAGTCAGTGGCCTCAGTTCCCCATCTTGGTTCCTTGATGGAGCTTAGCTGTTCAGATGCCTTCAAAGCTACCAGGGGGAGGGGCAGGGCCCTCAGCATCTAAATGCCTGACAGATGCACAGGTGCACCTTGGGATGTGTGGATTATGGCTACTGAACTGTCAACACACCCATTACAATCACATTTTCATCTGCTCGTGTGGTGTACACCTGTGGCTTGTTAGCTGGAAATCTGATTGCAGTGGGGAGAGTCTCAGTGTGAAGAGCCCCTAAAAGAATGGGATCAAACTCTATTTGCACAAATGTGCTTAATTTTTGTTCTATTTTTAATTCAAAAACAAGCCTTTTCGGGGAAAAGAGAGTGTATTCGGTGAGTTTGAGTAAGCTATCTTCTAGAACTCCTGCTCTAAGGATGACCTGATGTATGAGTGGTAGGGGCTGCTGTAATCTGAAGGTACAAGGAAAGTGTCTTGCCTCAATATGCAAAATGCCTCTTCTATCCTTCCATGATGGCTAGCCAACTAGAGAGTTACAATAGATGATTACTGATTCATTTGTTAATCTCTAGTGAAATTCTGTATTTAAGAGTGGCTTTCGGTAACTACTCTAAAACTGCAAATGTCCCTGGGTTAATTCACTGAGACTGATTATCAGACATTTACTCTTTAGTGTGAATTAGCTACAGCAGCAGGGCTTTCTCTAGATAATCAGATGAGACTAATGGTGGGAAGGTAGCCTTAGCACATGTGCAGCTCCAAATACTCTACATATATATGTATATCTTTATATACCACTATATATACACATGTATATATACACGTGTGTACATATGTGTTTGGGGGTGTAAGAATATATACACATATGTGTGGAGAGAGACTCAGTGGTAACTTGCTGTGGCATAGGTCTCTCTGTAAAATGTGGCCAGTTGCTAAGCTGTGCTGGTGGTCCTTTGGCCACTGCCCAGCCCTCATGTTTGAGAGGACAGCCACAACTGTAGGAGAAGGAGGTGTGCTAATACCTGTAATACCTGAGGTATCTTTGGAGTCTGATTCAGAGTCGGATGTCTCGGAGGACTCCGAGGTCTTCTCCGGCAGATGGGGAAGCTGTGCGATGTCCATTGGCGTGTCCTTGTACTCAGGGTTGCTGCAGGGAGGCAGTCATTCATCAGGAGTGCGGACACCTGTGCCCTATGGTCTGCTGTTGACCATCTTCTCCCCACTTCCTTGCCCCAACCTTTGGAGTTTAGAGAGTTTAAACAACTAAACGGGAATCATTTCTCAGTTCATAGTGGGACTTTCACAGAAGCTTGGATTGCATGGTGAGGGGGGGGCGGTACAGGTGCACCCTGCTGTGATGATTGAATACCCAAATGCTACATGAAAGCCACTAAAAAGCTTTCATATGATCAGGTGCCTCTGGGGACCAGGGAACTCTGCTGCTTGACATCCGTCCCAGGGTAGCACCTAGAGGGAGGGAGGATGGGAAGTACTCTCAACAATTCATTCCCACACCTCCTGGGGTGCCCTATCTTCTCTTGGGCTTCTAATGAGTCAGTGGCCTCAGTTCCCCATCTTGGTTCCTTGATGGAGCTTAGCTGTTCAGATGCCTTCAAAGCTACCAGGGGGAGGGGCAGGGCCCTCAGCATCTAAATGCCTGACAGATGCACAGGTGCACCTTGGGATGTGTGGATTATGGCTACTGAACTGTCAACACACCCATTACAATCACATTTTCATCTGCTCGTGTGGTGTACACCTGTGGCTTGTTAGCTGGAAATCTGATTGCAGTGGGGAGAGTCTCAGTGTGAAGAGCCCCTAAAAGAATGGGATCAAACTCTATTTGCACAAATGTGCTTAATTTTTGTTCTATTTTTAATTCAAAAACAAGCCTTTTCGGGGAAAAGAGAGTGTATTCGGTGAGTTTGAGTAAGCTATCTTCTAGAACTCCTGCTCTAAGGATGACCTGATGTATGAGTGGTAGGGGCTGCTGTAATCTGAAGGTACAAGGAAAGTGTCTTGCCTCAATATGCAAAATGCCTCTTCTATCCTTCCATGATGGCTAGCCAACTAGAGAGTTACAATAGATGATTACTGATTCATTTGTTAATCTCTAGTGAAATTCTGTATTTAAGAGTGGCTTTCGGTAACTACTCTAAAACTGCAAATGTCCCTGGGTTAATTCACTGAGACTGATTATCAGACATTTACTCTTTAGTGTGAATTAGCTACAGCAGCAGGGCTTTCTCTAGATAATCAGATGAGACTAATGGTGGGAAGGTAGCCTTAGCACATGTGCAGCTCCAAATACTCTAAAGAGTCTGTAATTCTACCAAGCATTGTGAGGGAATGAGATGAAGCCTGAAAGAGCAGGAATTTCAGAACATGGAAGGGCAAGCCTGGAAGGGGCCCAGAAGTGAGGGATTCTGGGAAAAGGTAGTATGAAAATATTGCTCAGGGAAGAATGAAAGAAGAATGTGGGAAAGAAAAACAAACTTCAGTTAGTTGCTATTTTGCCAAGGCCAGATGTTTTCCTTACTAGATCTCTAGCCTATTGAAGTGATACCAATAAATAATAAATGGTAGACTTGGTGGAGTTTCATTTGCTAAACCCCATCTATATTATAGTCTCCTTTGGCCCAGGTGCCATGTGGGTTCACAAGTCATTGTCACCCACCTTACAGTCTTTAATTATTGAACTCAGGGTGGGTCTTTAGGTCACTTGTAATAGGTCTACCAGGTCTGAGATGAGGCTCTGGAACCTAAAGACTGGTCTTTGGCATCCAAGCTACTTTCATTGACACTCAAGAGCATGTACCATTTAATCTTCGGTTAGATCAGTGGTGTTGAGCCAACGTTGCACAGACTGACCTCTCCTGAATCCTCCCTGCCTCCACTTGTTGGCAGGGAAGGAAGTTATGAGGTTGATGAGGCAGTAAGATCCAGAAAGGCAGAAATCTCCCTGCATGGGAGTAACAGCCATATCAATTACTTTCATACCCTAGGTTTCATCAGTATGAGGGACAGACCTTCTAGTCTAAGATGTCCCTGTTACCATTGTCTAATTTTTAATAAGAACGGGTCTCCTTGGCACAGAAGTATTTTTGCCTATAGCAGAAGAATGTCAGTTATTCTGTTTTCTCTTTGGCATGTGAGTTTTTATAACCATTTGCATTACACATGGCCACTGTTCAATTAACTTCTACATAAAAGGCTACCTTGATATCAGAATGTATCTTAAACATATCACAAACACAGGAGACATTTTGCATGAAAATCAGGTGTTGGAGAAAGCCGTACTAAATACACATACTTTTACCTTTACAGAGAATTAATGTAGAGTGAAAGAGGTCAAAAAAGGAAAAAGAAAGTAGATAAATGAAGACTCTTTTAAGTGGTGCAAATTAAGGCCCTCTCCAGAGCAATAATCATTAGTGTCTGATTGATATGCTATTGGTAGCAAGCACATTCATGCCTTCGAGTCATCACCAACGTATGTGAGCACACTCTGAAGGGTCAGTGTGCTGATGAGCAGCGCTGTCAGCATCTCGGGTCCGTTTAGCTCTCAAAGAAAAATGGGATTCAGCTTCTCCCTGTCTAGATGATTAGCTGAATGGCACCAACTTCATTCGTGGCACCTATAGGAAATTTTCCTACTCAGAACACATGTGGGCCCTGCTTGGTGGCTTTGGGCCAACAGAAGCTGAAGACAGGAAAGACAGTGGTGGGGCAGAGCCAGGCTGAACTTCCTAATAGCTCGGAGACCAGATTGCTGGAGAAAATCCTGGAAATCTTGTCCCCAAACACAAACCACCCAGGCTGTTGGTCTTGGTTACTTTTTTGGCTAGTTTGAATCCAAAGCTGGAAAGTAGACAAGGAAGGAATGAGAAATGGTGTTGCAGTTTTTAATTTAGGAAGTTGTTGAGCTTGGCCTCATTTATGGATATAAATTTGAGGACATGTTAAAATCTCAGTTAAACCTGCCTGAGATCACACAGCAGAGGCAAAAAAAAAAGATGGCCTGCCTTTTTATATTGATACTGTCTGGATTCTGGTAAAGCAACTCACTTTGCTTACCAAACCCTTAATGCCTAGGGAATCAAACTCTGTAACATGTTTAGTGCTTCAAAGGGATGAACTGCAGGAGAAATGAATCATCCTCTTTTGCTTAATTTTTACAAGATTGGAGTGCTTGCATGTGAGTGTTTGTGGTGGGGAGAAGGCTCCGGCTATAGACAGAAGTCTGTATCTTTTTGGCTTGAGCATTTTTAGGCAACCAAAGCAACCTCTGCAGAGCTGCCCAAATATTGAAAGACCAAGAATTATTGAAAATTTTGTGAATCTGCGCTGAAAGTACCTTCTAACATGGCTCTGATCTTTTCATATTTCTTTGACTCTTTTGGAAAGAAAAGCAGCATTTCCACATAATTCCACACCAGATACTATCAAAATATAATAAAACATGTCAGCTATTAACCATAGGGATGCATATTTTATAACAGACAGAAATGAAAAAGAATTAGAAAATATACCTAAGAAGATAATTCACCCAGATGATATTCTTCTCATTTGCGTTCTTGGCGTTAATAGCTATGGTGGCACTAGACTGTATCCAAATATATCCTCCATTCTTCTGCATCCAGCGATAGTACTTGGTCACACACTGGCCCTTGTTCAGCACTAGGGAAACAAAACAAAACAAAACAAAACAGAAGGCATAGCATATTAAGACTGGGACCAAATGATTACCATTTCTGCAAAACCTCAAGCTTAGAAAAGGGTGGTCCTGTGTGCAAGCCAGGTGCCCCCCTGTCTGCTTAATGTAGAAGGCATTAGTAGGACAAATAAAATCAACAATTCAGTGGAGCGGCAGCTCCGGAGCGAGGGTTACTAGCGTTTGTAGCAAGACTCTATTCCGTTTTGGGCAGCCATGGTGTGAAAGGAAGAATAAAAAGACTACAAATCTTTTTTGGCTCACAGAATACCTAATGCAGTGTGGATATTGTCAATGGGTTTGACGTCAGACAGTAACAAAGGCAAATTTGTATGTGATTTATTCATAGCTGCGAGGTAGGCTTCTTTGAGATTCTGGATATTTGAATGGTTCCGAAGATGCTTTACCCCTCCGTCTTTGATCATTCCACCTCAGTGTGAGCAGTATCAGCCAGGGTCCCTATGCATCTGCTCCTTTTGATCTTTTCTAACAGAATTTATAGTCTGGGTATGAACTAAATTTACATTGGTCATTCAGGGCAAATTCTGGTGAGACTTTACTGAATGTTGGAACAAAATAAATTCCTCAACTAAGTCAAAGAAAAACACTGGCCTAAGGGAGGCACAGAATTGACTTGGCTAGAGCCAAACAGAGTGACAGCTCCACACAGACTTTGAAATATGGCCCCAAATGAAGGAACAAGTAAAAACAATCAGTAATGTGAACCGCTGCCATTAAGTACCCGTTGGAAGAGAGCTTTCAAATGCAGATGTTAAAAATGATACTTTAACCAAAATCTTGCCAAGTTGAAATTGATTTGATTTGTATCTGGGTACTTCTGAGCTAGTAAAAGGGGAAAGTGCAGTAAATCATCCCCTGAAATAAAGTGCTATGGGTAGGAAGGGTTTAAAAGGATGCCGGAAATGAGCAAAACCTGTGGTTACTGCTTGGCTGGAGATCTCAGCGACTCCACACCCCAGAAAGTGTGCCTGCTAAGTGGCCACTAGAGGGCAGTGTGCACTCGTCCACGTCGCCCACTTTTTGGCATGTCCTTGTCTCCGTCTGCTAAAATGAAAAACCTCTAACTGCTGTAATAAATTTGGCTAAATTAGCTGCTAAATGGTTATCTCAAGTAATATGTATTTGCATTAATCATCTTGCTCTAAACCAGAACAAGCCAGAGTCCTAAAGACGTAGTAAATTCATATTGTCCATTTAATTACGGCTAATAAGTGCTTCATATACAATAGTTTCATGAAGTACATTTTGATTTTTTTTTGAAGGGGGATGTGGATGGGTAAAGGGAAGTCACTTTGGAAAAGAGCCGTGTTTAAGGCCATTTTAGCTCTTCCCATGGTGTTTGAGCTGCTCTTCGTGGCTCTGAAAGCCATCAAAAATTAAACCTCCACATATTATATCCATAAACATATATACCTCGATGCTTTTCTCCCATTCTCTCTTTTTTCTTACAGTACACTAAATGGATGGTTGTAAAATTTAATAATTATGTCTTAACGGTTGCTTGAAAAAGACTTGCTTTGATAAGTTCTTCAAATAGTGGCACTCTATTCTGAAACCATTCAACACTTCAGGGTATTTTTAAGGTCCGGAACTGTCATCTTCTCTTGGTGGTGAGGCTCCACAGGTAGCATTGTACTGTCCTTTTGTAGGCAGTTGTTAAGTTCTGCCATTCTGCATGCATGGTTTCCCCAGCTACAAAACTGCATGGTGAAGCTGAAAGCAGTAAAATACTAACTCTGCCACGCAGCTCTTCTGTCAAACCATTGCCCCATGCGACAAGATGTGCTTCTATTCAAATCCTCTCAGCCTGGTTAACTATTAATAGAGGAATGATGGGCTAGGAAATTCTGCCCACTATTTTCACAGAGAAAACTTACAGCACCCCTATCAGTGGTTAGCATATAATTCTATCTGCTGTGCATCTGGAATAAGGAATTATTTCAAAGGGTTCTTTCATTTTTAATAAAGGCAAAGAGACTAAGAAGCCCTTTTTTAGAATCATATGAAGAAAACACTAAGATGGTAGGCCAGATCAGCCCAGCCTGGCTGGGGATTCTGGACTGGAATCCGACCCAAAGCAGGCAAAATAAAAAAAAAAAAAAATTACCCCACCTCTTCCAAATACAGTGCATAAGAGGCAAAGGGAAAAGGAGTCATAAAGTCAAATTATAATTTGCAGAATCAACATAAAGATCACCCCCACTCCTTGCTAATAATACTTCCTCTTAAAAACAAACAAAGAAACAATCTCAATTCTGACATGCAGAGCCAGCAGAACATCTGCTTTCCCGGTGGGCTCTGCGTATGTGCCGTGCAAGGGCTGAAAGGCTTATTTGCTGCAAGACTGATGTTAGGGCACCATCTTTGTGGGTTAAGGCCGTTTCATGGACCGTGGTGAACAGTGCAGAGCAGATCCTGCAGCCCACCAGGCTCAGCTGGTGAAGACACGTCTGACCTAATCCATTTATTTGCCCTGAGGTAGCCTGGCAAACAGAAATCTTAAAAGGTAAAGGGACATTCTAGCACGTTCTTAAATCATGACTATGCCCTGAGCATCAGGGTTTTCTGAGTGAGACCGTCTTATGTCAGTGGGAATCTAGATAACTCAGAGCGAGGCTCCGGGTTAGCTCCCACTGTAGCATGACATGTTGGCCAAAATGTTGCCCCAGTGGCAGGAGGTTTTCAGGAGGTCCCATAAAAGAAGTCACAATGGAATTGTGCTTCTTTATAAATGAATAAGGAATAATTTTTGCTTGGGGCTCCAGAATATAAATTTATGACTTTGGGATGAAGCTTTTTTCTTAAAGAAAAAAAAATCATACTGGCAAATCAGTTGGATCATTCCAGCTGCGCCAGAGGCAGGATCTGACAGCTTTTCCTGAGCTCATGTGGTCCTAATCAGCTCAAGAAGAAAAGCCACCTTGGTGCCAGTTCGAAAGGATTTTTTAGTTTGTAATAAATTAGACAACTGGAAAAACAAAAACTTTTTTGATTCTCTTTAATCCAGTGGCTGTTAACTTTTATTTTTGAGTTGTAGCTTTAGATAATGGAGAAAAATGAGAGAATGCCTGTGTCTAGTTTATAAAATTCCTGTTGTGGGGAAATACAGAAATAAGCATGGTAGAAGTTACTTGTATGGGAAGTTCTTAAAAAATAGTTAATTGTCCCTTGAGAAGAGGTAGGTGCTCATCAAACCAATGAGCCCGGGAGTAAATTTACAACAATGCACTCAAACTATAAAGAGAGGAAGCACAGAGAGGAAATACATATGTGGATCATATTTTTAGTTTTACATCACAATACAGCCTGAGTACTTCTAACACAGCTGGGTATATTTTCTTTGGTTTATCATAAAGTCTGTTTTTGCTGTCCAAAACTTGTGGTAGAGCAGCCCGCGTGTCCCTCACTGAATCACCGATCCCATCACAACATCGCTAGAATTATGTCTTTAAAGTTGTGCTGTAGGAATTTGTTTTTATTTAAGGATCTCAAAACACTGACATGGCCTTTTCTTAGATTTTACAGGGTAAACACAAAGACAGGGAGGATGAGTCCATTTTCTGCAGGTTCACTTACAATCTCAAATGGTCCCAGGTATCACTGCGAAGGCCTTGGCCACCAAAATTGCTTTTGGCTGTTTTGCTGAGGATCAGCACTGTCCCACCTTCCAAGCTAACGGTGCCTCTGAGTTCAGACTGTGCTCTTCAGAGGGCAGTGGGAACTCCGCATTTGTGAGAACACCATACAAAGAGATTGAAATCCTCCTGGCTCAGCTAGTCCAGGCCTGCTCACTTGACAATTTTTGGCTATTAGTGTCAAAACACTGTAATTATGAAGGCAGTGCAAATACAGTTCAATCAAAAGAAAATTGAAGACACTTACCTTTTGGAATACATGACCTTTTATGTCAAATACACATTTCCCCCAAAAGGCTAGATGCTAAATCTTACCGAGTATCTTTTAAAAATACTCCCTGGTCTCAGTTTGGGCGCAGTGGTGGGCGTCCAAGAAATGGGCCGCTTGTTGAGAGTCGCCTACTCTCCCCCCAGAGCTGACGGACTCTCAGCTGAAGTGCACATCCATGGCTCTGCACAGTCACCAACGGAGGGATGTCAGTTTTCCTTGGGAAAACTTTGTCCCCAGAAATAGACTTAGATTGAAAGGACATAAAGGAGGCCTGTGTCTGTGGCAGGAACGTAATTCTGTTAGTAAATCAAAACACATCAGGACACGTTTGCCTTCAGAAATATGGAGAAAAAAAGAGAACATGGTCTCTTCCTGTTGGGCTGTTCTACAAACTCAAAGCCAAAGATTCTAAATAGTGAGTTACTTGTGTCTTAAGAAGAAGGAAGCAGTCTAATTCAGTTTGAAGAGGAGATGAAGCACACATATCAAAAGCGGCCTTTTAGCAAAGTGTCCCACAAAAGCACTTTTTAGTGGTTTGCATATGCATCAAAAAGCTGCAATACTTGGTGTATTCAGGTGAGTATAGAATAAATAGGAAATGGTGAGCTCATCAGCGATTTCACACTTCACATTCACCCAGCTGAACAAAGAGCTTCATTATTGTCATGGCGATAGCAGGACGCATCTGCAGCGCCTTTCACCCCTCCTTGAGGTGCTTCGTCAGAGGCTGCAGTGGACAGACAGCGGGTGCTTCCTCCTAGAAACTCAAAAAATTATTTTTGAGTTCACTGCTGTGGAGTCTGTGTAAGTAAGGGGATGTGTTAGAGTCCTGCTTTCTACTTAATACTGCAGTTGGGTGCTTAGCTGTAGCCACTGGTTTTCTTTCTACATTCACAAAACTGGCAGATGAAACATGAAAAAGAATATTGGCTCTTTAATCTCTGCTTCTCCACCTAAGGCCCAAGGCAGGCTGACAGGGAACTTCATTCTGGAAACAGGACTTTTTAAAAAAAATTCTGGATTACTTTCTCCTCTGCTT